TGCTATTACTACTACTACTACTACTGCTGCTACTACTGCTACTGCTACTACTACTACTACTACTACTACTACTACTGCTACTACTACTACTTCTGCTACTACTACTACTGCTATTGCTACTAATGCTACTGCTACTGCTAATGCTACTACTGCTACTACTACTGCTACTACTGATACTATTACGGTTACTGCTACTACTACTCTAATGCTACTACTACTACTGTTGCTAAATATACTGCGATGCTACTACTGCTAAATACTACTATTTCTACTCTACTACTACTGTTGCTACTACTACTGCGACTGCTACCTACTGCTACTACTACTTTACCTACTACTGCTACTACTACTACTACTATGCTACTACTAAACTACTGCTACTACTACTGCTAATGCTATTACTATACTTACTACTGCTCTACTACTGCTACTGCTACTACTTACTACTACTACTACTAATACTACTGCTGCTACTACTGCAACTACTACTACTACTATGCACTGTTACTGCTACTACTACTGCTTACTGCTACTGCTACTACTACTTTACTACTTTCTGCTACTACTGCTACTACATACTGTACTGCTACTACTGCTACTACTACTGCTACTATACTGCTACTGCTACTACTACTGCTACTGCTACTACTAAATGCTACTGAATACTACTTTCTACTACTGCTGCTGCTGCTACTACTACTACTACTATACTACTGTTACTACTGCTACTACTGCTACTACTGCTATACCTACTACTACTATTATACTAGTGCCACCTACTACTGCTTACTGCTACTACTATTGCTACTGCTACTAATAGTACTCTACTAAACTACTACTCTGCTATCCAACTATACTGCTACTGCTACTACTATGCTACTACTACTTATACTACTGCTACTACTACCACTACTGCTCTACTACTACTTTCTATGCTATTACTACTACTACTACTTGCTACTACTACTGCTCACTGCTACTACTACTACTACTACTACTATACTGCTACTCTACTACTTCTGCTACTACTACTACTGCTAGCTACTACTGCTACTGCTACTGGCTACTCTACTACTGCTACTACTACTGCTACTACTGCTACTATTACTGGTACTGCTACTACTTACTATATGCTACTGCTGCTACTACTACTACTGCTGCTACTACTGCCACTGCTATTGCTACTGACTGCTATCTATATGCTACTGTTACTCAGTACTACTACTTTGGTACTGCTACTACTGCTACTACTACCTATATATACTACCTGCTACTACTACCACTACTGCGTACTCTACTGCTTGCTAGTACTTCTATACTACTACTGCTGCCATACTATGCTACTGCTACTTACTCAACATACTATTACTACTACTCGCTACTACTTAATACTTCTGCTACTACTACTACGGCTATTGCTACTACTGCTACTGTACTGCTACTGCTATACTGCTACTACTATGCTACTACTGTAATATTACTGGTACTGCTACTAACTATACTACTGCTAATGCTGCTACTACTTACTACTGCTAGCTACTACGGCCATGCTATTGCTACTACTGCTACTACTACTGCTACTGTTACTACTGCTACTACTACTGGTACTGCTACTACTGTATACTACCATATGCTACTGTATACTACTGCTACGTCTAACTGCTACTACTACTGCTACTGCTACTACTACTACTACTACTGCTATTGCTACTACTATACTACTACTGCTACTACTAACTACTGTATGCTACTATACTGCTACTAATACTCTGCTACTACTTTGTATAACTAGCTACTACTATACTACTGCTACTACTATACTGCTACTGCTACCCTAACTGCTACTACTACTACTCTACTATACTGACTGCTATACTTCTGTACTACTACTGCTATGCTAATACTACTGCTACTACACTACTGCATACTAATATACTGCTACTACTGCTGCTACTGCATACTACTACTCTACTGCTACTACTGCTCTTGCTAGTACTACTACTGCTACTACTACTGCTGTCTACTAACTACTACTGCAGACTACTGCTCTACTTACTACGCTATACTACTACTACTACTGCTACTACTAGTACTGTTATGCTACTGCTACTTACGACTACTACTTCTACTGTCTACTACTGCTACTACTATTACTGCTACTACTACTACTAGCTTGCTCTACTACTATACACTGCTACTACTACTACTATATCTGATACTTCTACGATACTGCTACTATACTCGCTGCTACTACTGCTGCTACTACTGCTGCTTCATGCTATCTACTGACTACTACTACTGCTAATACTTCTAATACTACTACTACTACTACTACTGCTACTGCTTCTACTACTATACTGCTACTGTACTACTGCACTACTGCTGCTACTGATACTACTACTGCTACTACTACTGCTTACTACTAGCTACTGCTTTACTACTACTGCTACTACTACTACTTACTGCTATCTACTACTACTACTACTGCTACTACTATACTACTGCTACCTACTACTACTCTACTGCTACTCTACTACTGCTACTACTACTACTAGCTGCTATACTCTATACTGCTATCTATTACTGTATACTGTCTACTACTACTACTTACTACTATGCTACTACTACTTATCTCTGCTACTATACTACTACTACTGCTACTTACTTACTCTGTACTCTACTGCTACTACTACTGCTGTACTACTGCTACTGCTGCTATCTAACTATGCTATCTACTCACTTCTATACTACTACTACTACTAGCTCTATACTACCACTCTGTTTCTTTCTACTACTACTGCTACTATCTTTCTGCTTTCTAACTACTCTACTGCTACTACTACTGCTACTACTCTATGCTGCTACTACTACTCTCTACTGCTACTTCTGCATACTCTACTACTACTACTATACTTAATACTACTGCTCTACTACTACTTTCTATGCTACTACTACTATCTGCTACTACTTATGTACTGCTACTTTCTACTGCTACTGCTACTATGCTACTACTACTTTTACTACTACTGCTACTACTATGCTACTGCTACACTTATTATACTGACTATTGCATAATACTGCTCTGCTACTAATGCTACAAATATCTATACTGGTACTACTCTACTTACTTCTACTAACTCTTAATCTACTACTACTTACTGCTACTTTTGGTATACTACTTTCTACTACTTTCTTTACTGCTATACTCTGCTACTGCTATGCTACTTACTGCTATGCTACTACTGCTACTACTATACTGCTACTGCTACTATACTATGCTGCTACTACTGCTATAACTGCTATGACTTCTGCTACTTATACTGCTACTGCTATTGCTACTCTACTACTACTACTACTTGCTAATTTCTGTACTTGGTACTACTACTGATACTCTACTGTTTCTGCTACTCTATTACTCTACTGCTACTATCTGCTAAATACACTACTGCTTACTGGTACTCTAACTCTTACTGCTACTTGCTACTACTTGCTACTTTACTACTGCTACTATACTTTTCCCACTGCTACTTTCTGCTTACTACTACTACTACTTCTAGCACTATACTACTACTACTTACTACTACTTTACTACACTGTTCTACTGCTAACTCTACTAGTTACCCTTTCTGGGCAATACTATATACTTCTTTACGTAACTGATTTTCTCTACTCACTTTGCTTATCTATACGATTAATTACACACGACTCGCTACTTTTGATACTAAAGTCTATTATATTGCATAAATTACTATTTATGTATATTTTATGTGTCCTAAACCCCTCCCGAAGGATATTCTATGACATAGCTTTCTACTTTACTCTACGTCGTAGTTCAACATCTTTCTATTACTGTCTCAAACAATTTACACAAGTCACTACTTAGAAGGCGAATGACTGCCATTGTAGCAATCAGGTGTACCTCAGATTGTTTAGTTTCTGTGTTGGTCTAACAGTGTTACTGAGGACTCACACTTATTAAATGATTGTTTCAAAAATTTTTTGGGAAAAAGGGTTTTTTGAAATGTTCCCCAATCTATTTCCCTCCAAAAAGGCCATCCCCTCCCATTTAACGGAATCCACAAATTGTACCCACGACTCCCTTCTTCGTCCTACCATACCTGGTCTCTCCTGCAAAAGTGATTACTAACTCAACCTATATGTGACTATATAAAACATTTCAAAAAGGTGTCAACTTTAGTTTAAGGGAGGCATTTATGTCGAAAAAATGTCAAACGGTCAATTTTGAGGGAAAGTTTAAATTTAATTGCCCAAATTTTGGGAAATGCTATTAGCACTTTTGACAACGCAAGCAACAAAACCGTCACAATGAACTGTTAAAAACCAACATTGTCTCAACAAACACTTTCCACTCACCATGTGAACTATTAAACAACATTGTTAACCAACAACACTACCTGTTTGCACCTGTCCACTAGTTTCGAATATTGTCAACAACCGGGCCCTACCTCCTGCACTGGGCTAATAAAAATTGTCTCAACTCTTTTTACTACCCTTTTTTTGCACCAGTGTACTATTTAAACAAACATTGCAACAACGCACTCCCACTGCCCCCATGAACTTGTTTAACAAAACATGGGGCAACAACAAGCTAAACCTTGGCTACCCCAGAGCTGAAATACATTGCAAAAACGCTACTTGGCTGCCCCATAACTGGTTTATACAAATTGTCAACAACTTATTTCCCAAAAGTCCCCATAACTTTTACAACCTTTTCAACAACGCACTACCTGCGCCCACCAGGGAACCCTATTCCAAATTGAACAAAATAAGTTTTTGATCAGGGGAATTGGGTTTTAACAACCAATTGTTAACAAACAGAAAAAATTTAACCCAGACTGAAAGTAAAAACTAGTTAACAAATTGTCAACAAAGGATACAGTTGCAAAAGGGGAAAATTTTAGTTAAACAAATTGGTCCCCAACACACTCCAAGTTTTAAACCAAATTTTGAACTGGTTAAAAAAATTAAAACCCCAATTGCAACAAAAACCCTTTACCGGCCAAAAGGGAACCTATTTAAACCAAAACTTGTTAAAAAGCGCTCCTACCGGCCGGGCCCCCCAAAAGTAAAACCCTGGGGTTAACAACTTTGGTCAAAAAAGGGGCCAACAAAACCCAGGGCAATGCCATGGGAAATGTCAAACAGTTTTTCCTTTTTGGGGGTTAACAGGTTCCAAATTTAAAAATAAAATTTTTTTTTGGGGGGCCCAAACAACAGACAAACCAGCTGCCCAAAGTGACTAGTTTCATTGTCAAAAAAAGACACCACTGCCCCAAGAAACGGTTATCCTTTGTCAACAACAGCACTACCAGCTGCACCATAAAACTTTTAAAACCATTGCCCAACAACAGCATACCGTTTGCCCCGGGAAAAACTATTTAAACCTTTTTTCCAACAACAGCCTACCGCTGCAAAAATGAATTTTTTTAAATAAAATTGTCAAAAACAGCCTACCCCCTCCCAAAAGGGGCACTATTTTAACATCGTCAAAAAACACACTCCCGTGCACCAGGGAACAAGTTAACAAAGGGTCAACAACAGCACACCACCCTGCACCAGTGAATATTTAAAAAACATTGTCAACAAACCTAACCGCTGCCCCAGGAACTGGTTAAAAATTTGTCAAAAACAGAAACTACCGCTGCCCAGGAACTATTTAACAAAAAGGGTCAACAACAGCCTACCGCTGCCCCCATTTAAAACATTTAAACCAAATTGTCAACAACAGCACTACCAGCCCCAGTGAACTAGTTAACAACATTGTCAACAACAGAACAAACCAGCGCACCAGTGAATTTAGTTAAAAAATTGTAAAACAAAACAAACCAGCTGCCCCAGGGCCTAGTTAAAAAATTTTTTAAACAACAGACTACCAGCTGCACCGGGGTGAACTATTTAAAAACTTTTGTAAACAAAAAGACTCCCAGCTGCCTCCAGTGAACTGGGAAAAAATTGTCAACAAAAACACTCCACTGCACCAGTGAATTTGTTAACAAAAATTTGTAAAACAACGGCACTACCACTGCACCAGGAACTAGTTAACAACTTTTTGTCAACAACCCATTTAAAAAGCTGAAACCAGTGAATATTTTAACCCAAGTTGTCACAAAAAGACTACCTTCTGAAACCGGGTTAAAATATTTTAACAACATTGTCAACAACAGAAACTACCACTGCACAGTAAACCCAATTTTAACAACTTTGGGCAAAAACCCCAATTTCCCCCGGCCCCAAAGGAACTATTTAACAAAACATTGTCAACAACAGACTCCCAGCTGCCCCATTTAACTATTTAAAACAAAAATTGTCAACAACAGTACAACCAGCTGCCCCCGGTTAACTAGTTAACAACATTGTAAAACAACCACTACCACTGCCCCAAGGACTATTTAAACAACATTTCAAAAACAGCCTACCAGCTGCCCCATTTAACTATTAAACAACATTGTCAACAAAAAACACTCCCAAGCCTCCAAAGTGAACTAGTTACAACATTGCCCAACAACACACAAACCAGCTGCCCCAATTTTGAAACTAGTTAAAAAACAGGGGTCAAAAAACAGCACTCCCCGCGCACCATTTAACTAGTTAAAAACGGTCAAAAACCCAAAAACTCCCAATTTTGCACCAAAAATTTGTTAAAAAATTTTGTAAACAAAAAGACCCCCAGCTGCCCCATTTAACTATTTTAAAAAAGGGTTCAAAACAAGAACTACCACTGCACCAGTAAAACTAGTTAAAAAACATTGTCAAAACACCCACTACCAGCTGCACCATGAACTGGGTTAAAAAACTTTGTCAACAACAGAAATACCGCGGCACCGGGGGAACTATTTAAACAACATTGTAAAAAAAAGGGGCATTTACCGCGCACCAGTAATTTAGTTAAAAACATTGTCAACAAAAACATACCTCCCAAACCAGAGAACTATTAAAACATTGTCAACAACCACTACCGCTGCCCCCGGGAAAACCCTAGTTAACAAAAATTTTTCAAAAACACATCCCAAAGCTAACCTAAAACTATTAAAAAACTTTGGGTCAACAACAGAACTACCCCTGCACCAGAACTAGTTAACAAAAAATTGTCAACAACAGCACTCCCGCTGCCCCAGGAATTTTTTTAAAACAACATTGTCAACAACAGCACACCTGTTTCCCAGGAACAGTTAACAAAAATTGTCAAACAGCAAAAACCACTGCCCCAGTAAAATAGTTAAAAAAACATTGTCAACAACGGGCACTACCTCCCTGCCCCCCGGGGTTTAGTTAACAACATTGTCAACAACAGCATACCGCTCCCAACCAGGAACATTTTAACAACATTGTCAACAAAGCACTACCAGCTGCACCATTAAAATAGTTAAAAACCATTGTAAACCCAACAGCACTTCCACCGCACCAGTGAATTTATTAACAACATTTTTCCCAAAAAAAAAGCACAAAAACCGGCTGAAACCCATTAATATTTAAACCCAAAATTGTCAACAACGGAAATACCGTTTGCACCATGAATAGTTAAAAAATTTTTTGTAAACAAACACCTACCAGCTGCCCCAGTGAACATTTTAAACCCTTTTTGGTAAACAACAGATACCACTGCACCAGGAACTATTTTAACAACTTTGGGCAAAAACCCGAAATTCCTCTGCACCGGAAAAATTTAATTTTAACAACATTGCAACAAAAAGCACTCCGCTGCACCGGGCTAGTTAACAAATTAATCAACAACAGAAACACCGCTGCCCAGGAACAAATTTAACAACTTTGGTAAAAACAACGCATACCAGCTCCCCCGTAAAATATTTTTAAAAACATTGTCAACAACAGCACAAACCGGCTGCACCTTGAATAGTTAACAACATTGTCAACAACGACTACCTCCACCAGTGAACTGGGTTAAAAAACTTTGTAAACCAACAGACAACCATTGACCGGAAAATTTTTAACAATATTGTAAACCCAAAAGACTACCACTGCCCCGGGAAATTTTAACAAATTGCCCAACAACAGTACCCCGCTGCCCCAGGAACTGGGTTAACAAATTGTCAACAACAGTTAACCCACTCCCCACCAGTGAACTAGTTTTGGGGTTAAAAAGACCCGTGCCCGGGAAAACTATTAAAAAATTGGGAAAAACGGGCCTAACGGGGCCCCGGGGGCATTAAAAATTTAAAAAGGGGGGACCCAGCGCCCCGGTGTTTTCCCCCTTAACAAACAAAACTGTGAAATTTAAAATTTTTTTTCCAACGCTCCTTTTACCGGTAAACATTCAAAATTTTAACCTTTTTTTACCGGAATTAAATAGAAAAATTTTGCCTCCCCTTGCACCCTGTTTTTAAAACCGAAACAAATACTAAAATTGAATTTAATTGGTTAAAGAAATTGTAAACAAAAGTTCTCCCACCTCCTTAACCGGAAAAAAAGAAAAAATTGGTAAACCGAACAATTGGGGGAATAAAAATTTGAAAACGATTTTTAAGCTGAACCCATGAAAAATTTAACTGGCCAAAAAACTAAGCGGAAGGGAAAACTGAACCAAAGGAACTAGCACTAAGTTTGAAAAAACTATTTCAACATTGAAAAACGAACCTCTGACCATAAACTGAACTTTGAACAAAGATAACTGACCGTAAACTGAACACAGGGGCCAACAGCACTACCTTGGGCCTAAACTGAAAAACTTGAACCACCAATTTGCCCCATAAACAGAAAAACGGAGAAAACGAGCTTTGCCCCGTGCTGAAAAATAGTGAAAAACGACCCCCGGCTGACCATAAAACTGAGAAATAGAAACAACCTACCCCAGCTGACCATAAACTGAAAAGCCCCCCTACCGGAGCCCCATGAACTGGAAAAATTAGGGGAAAAACAAAGTACTAACCGTGCCCCGAGCTAGCACAACTGAAAAACAGAAACTAGCTGAGCATGAGCAGAACCCATTTGAACAAAGCCTACCACTGAAGCTGAACCCAAGTAACAAACCTAACTGAACCATCTAGTTCCCCAACTTGGTGGGGAAACGACTCCCCACTACCTGAACTGGGGTTTAAAAACTTGGTAAAACACTAAGTTTGGCCCACTAAACCTGAAAAACTTGAAAAAAAGAAATCTGACCAATACTGGTAAAAACAAGCTAACTCTAAGCTGAACCGAGAACTTTTTAAAACTTGGCAAAAACTACCACTGAATGAAAAAAATTTTGGGGTGGGATAGTTTGGAAAAATTAAACAGGGGACACAGGAAACTGGACGACCCGGGGATAAGTTGAAGGCAACCAGCACTGGCTAAAAAACCTGACAAAAAAACTGGTGATACATTTTTCCCCTAGCTTGGCTAAGCCGGGGGAGAAACTAAATGAAATTGGATAAATGAGTAACCTCCCTTTGAGCTCCCTTAACCGAAAAAATGAAAACGGAGAAAATTTTGGAAAAAAAATGATTGGTGCCAAAGTTTAAAATGATTTGCCCTTAACCGGCCCAAAAAAACTGCCAAAAAACCTGAAAAATGAAACTAAAACACTTAGACTGACCCTGGGGCCTGAGCTAAAAACCCTGGTGAAACTGGTGAACTGAGCACTAAAGTGAGACTGAGCTGGGGACTGGGGCTGAACACTAAACACTGGGGTGGCACTGAGCAAACCCGGGCCCTGAGGGTGCTAACCTGGGGTACCACTGAGCTAGCACTGAGCTGGGCACGGGCTGAACACTGAGAAAGAGCACTGAGAAAAACCCACGAGCACTGAGCGAAACACTGAGCATTTGGGGGAACATGGGGACACGAGCTACCCTGAGTGGGCACTGAACTAAACCTGAGAAAATGGTGACCCACTGAGCTGATAACATCTGAGCCTGACCCTGAGCACGGAGATAAAAGGCACTGAACTGAACGGCTGAGCATTTAAAACTGAACCTGCCACTGAGTTTGGACTGAGCAAAACCTAAAGTGATGACCCTTGAGGGACCTGAGTGAAAACTGAGCTGAAACACTGACCACTGAGCTGGCACTGGCTAAACCTGAGTAAGCCCTGAGCTGACCCGCTAAACAGTGCACTGGGGAAATAAAAGGGTATGAGCACTGAGGGGGATTGAGCTAAAAGGAAAACTGAGTAAAGCCCCTGAGCGAACACTGAGCACTGAGCTGAAAAATGAGCTGAGACTGAGTTTGAACCTGAGAACTGAGATAGCACTGAGCAAAACCACTGGCACTGACTGAGAAATGGCGGAGAAACTGAGCACTGTCCTGAACACTAAAGCAGGAAACTGAGCATTTGGGAGCACGGGGAGCTTGAAGCCCGAGCTAAACACTAAACTGGCCTGAGTGAGCACTGACTAAACACTGAGCACGGGAGCTGAAAATGAGGAACCCCTGAGCAGGGACTAAACACTGAGCTGGGCGGACTGAAAACTGAGCTCCCCCACTAAAGCTGACCACTGAGTTGGCCCCTGACCTGGCATAAACTGACCATTTAGCACGACTGAGCCTGAGCTGAACACTGAGTGAACACTGAGCTGAACACGAGCACTAAACGGAGCCCCTAAAGTGAGCACTGAGCTAAACACTAAAACCTAAAAGCACGAGAAACACTGAGCACTGGGTGAGCATGAGGGAACACTGAGCACTGAGCGGAGCACTGAGCTGAGCCTGAAAAGGGGGAAAAACCGGGCCCTGAGCACCTGAGCTGAGCAACTGGCTGGCCCCCCGGGGTTTAAACACTGAGCAACCTGAGTGAGCCCTGGGCTGAACACTGACCCTGACACCTGAGGCCTGAACAATGAGAAAACTGAGCTGAGAACTGAGTTGAGCAACAGAGCTGAGCACGGGGGTAAACATGAGATGGGAAGCACGGCTGGGGCCTGAGCTAAGAACTAAAGTGGGGCCTGAGCTGAAACACTGAGACTGAGATAAAGCATGGCTGAACAGTGAGCACTGGGCTGGGGCACTGAGCTAAACACTGAGCTGAGCACTGAGCCTGAGCCTGAGTGAGCACGGGAAAAAAAACCCCCACTGAGTGAGCACTGAGCGGGGAGCATTAGCTGGCACGAGCGAAAAATAAAGCACGGAACTAAAGAAATGAGCACAGAGCTGAGAAAGGGCTGAACCTGGCGGGGCGGCGGAGACTGAGCACACGGGAGCCACTGACCCTGAGCACTGAGCAGAACACTGACATGAGCGAACACGAGCTGGCGCGACTAGCACTGGCTGAGCACTGAGCTGACCACTGAGGAGCACTGAGTGGGGCACTGAGCTGAACACTGACCCACGAGCTAGCACTGAGCTAAAACACTGAGCTAAAAACACTAGCTGAACACTGAGCACGGGTGAGAACTGAGCTAAAGCACTGAGCTAAAGAAATGAGCTGGACTGAGCTAAACACTGAGCACGGAGGTGACACTGACAAACACTGAGCACTGAGTTTGGAGCCCTGACTAAAGCGCTGAGATGACCCTTTTTGAGCTGACACTGAGCGACACTGCGCGACCCACTGGGCTGAACCTGGCACGAGTGAGCACTGTGCAAACACTGAGCAAACCAGGGCAAAACCACTGAAACTGAGCTGAAAACTGATTTTGAGAAACAGAGCGGCACTAAATTAAGCACGGGAGCGAGCACAAGCTGAGCACTGAGCGGGAGAACTGAGCGGGAGCACTGAGCTGAACATGACCCTGAGAGGGCACTGAGCTGAACAGGAGCACTGACTGAGCCCTGATGACCCAACTGAGCTGACACTAAAGCTGAGCTTGACTGAGCACTGAGCGAGCACGGCTGAGCACTGAGCTGGGGCTGAGTAAAACACGGAGCACTTAGCTGGGAAATGAGCTAACCCACGGGCCCAACTGGGGCTGAGCATTTAAAGCTGAGCGCTGACTGACACTGACCTGAGCACTGAGCTGGCACTGAGCATTGGCGGAGCACTTAGCTAGCACAGAGCTGAGAAATGACTGAGCACTGATTTGAACACGACACTGAGATGAGCATTGAGCGGAACACTGAGCACAGAGTTGACCACTAGCTAGCACTGAGCTGAACCTGACTGAAACACTGACCTAAACACTGAGCCCCGAGTGAGCACGGAGCTGAGCACAGGGGGCCTGGCCTGACTGACCCACGGAGCTGGGGCACTGAGCTGAGATTTTGAGGGGAGCACAGGGTGAGCACTGAGCGGGCCACGACCCTAGCATGAGCTGAGCCTGAGCGGGAGCACAGAGTTTGGCACTGAGCTGAGCACAGAGCTGGCCTAAAGCTGAGAAACCCTGAGCTGAGCACTGAGGGGCCCCCTGGTGAGCACGGGAGCCACTGAGTTTTTGCATGACCCTGAGCACAGAGTAGAAAAAAACTAAGAAGAGCTGAGCACGGCTGGGCACTGAACTGGGGCACAGAGCCCATTGGCTCTGCATTTGGCTTTTGCACAAGCTGAGCACAGAGCTAACACTGACGGAGCCAGAGCTGAGCACTGACTGTGCATGAGCTGGGGCCATGAGTTTGGCACAGAGCTAAACAAAAGGCCCCCTGAGAACAGAGTGGGGTACTGAGCTGAGCAAAAGAGTTAGAAATGAGCTGAGCACTAAAGCTGAGCACAGAGCTGAGCACTGAGCTGAGCACAGAGCTGAGCACAGAGCTGACCCCCTGAGGGGGGCACAGGCTGACCCAATGATGAGAAACTGAGCTGAGTACAGAGCTGAGCCTGAGCTAAAGCACAAGGGGCACTGAGCCGAGAAATGAGTGACAAAAGAGCTGAGCACTGGCTGGGGCTTTGAGCGAGCATAGAGCGAGCACTGAGCTAAAGCCAGAGTTGACCCACAAGCAGCAATGACTGAGAACAGAGCTGAGCACACAGCGGGGCACTGGCGGAAAACAGAGCTGAGCACAAAAAAGCGGAGCCCCAAGCTGAAAAACAGAGCGAGCACAGAGCTGAACACGGGAGCTGGGGCAAAACGGGTTTTTGAAAAAAACCTGAACACAGTAAACCCCCAATAACTTTTATTATTTTGATGATCAATATCCTTTTTTAAATTGTTTAATTTATTTTTAAAAAATTTTCCCAAATAAACACATACACAAAAACGCCCCACACCACCACACACCACACTACCGACACACAGTCGGGGGTCATTTTTTGTGTCGGGCTCCAAAAACCCAAGGGGGGACAACTTTGAAGAAATAAAAAAGAGGAGGAAAAAAAAAGATTTTAAGGGGCCCTGAAAACAATTTGGTGAGGGCGATATGACCCCGGTGGGCAAAAATTTTTAGAGAATTGGGTGGTTTGCGAGTGGAAGGATACGGCCTGTCAGAGTAAAAATTTCCAAAGGGAAAAAACAGTTCGAACCCGGGGTTCTCAAGAGAAAACAAAACCCGAGGGGCCAAACAGGGGTTTCCAGAGGGTATCCCCCGACCGCGCAGAACCAAGAAAAAGGACTACACTGAAAAGAGGGTTTCCGAGATGCAAGGAAAGGGAAGGAGGGGAATGACAAAAAAGGCAGGACCCCGACACAGGAGGAAAGGAAAAAACACCCCACAGAAAACTCCCACCCCAAAAAACCCCCCAAACGCGAATTCCCAACGCAACTGAGGGAAAACCCTTTTCTCAACCCCCTCACTGCCCCTCTGCCCCCAACCCCCATTAAAAAACCTCACCCCAAAAGCTGCCCTTATGGGGATTCTGACCCCACCCCCATCATCACAAACCCCACCAAAAACCACAGCCCCATATAGGCCCCCACCCAAAGGGGCCCCGGCCCCCCCCCCCCAATATTTTGCCTGACCCCAATGAAGAAAAAAACTGAAATTTGGTTTCCCAAACCCCGGGTGGAATTAAAAGGGAAAAAAATGAGGAGGGGGGAAAGAAAGAAACCCGTTTAAAAATCCCCAGACCCTCTAGCAGTCACAGAAACCCAAATCGCTGAGACAATTAAAAAACCCCAATCTTCCCAAGGGGGTATCAGTTTCCCGAGGAAAGGGTAGGGAAAGGGGTAGAGGGGGGGGAGGGGGTTTCACTGCTCAGAAACACCGATGGGGATTGAGGAAATGGAAGCATGGGCATGATGGAGAAAAAAGATACATTTAGGGAATTCAGTCCCGGGGAACCCAAAAATATCCCTTGGGGTGATGTATAAACCCCCCAAGAACTGCAGGAGGCCAAAGAAGGGGTACGAAAAAAAAACAACAGGGTATGGTGGGGCACACTGGCTGAGGTGGGGAAGAGTCACTCGACAGAGCAAAGTTACTGGGAATTTTGGGGGATTTTTAACCCAGGGAGACAATGGGGAAAACCCCGGAGCCCAATGGGGGGCCCCAAAACTGGGGAGCCCCCAAAAGAGGGGTTGGAAATTGAAAACCCCAGCATCAAAAATGTAGGGACACAAAAAAAACCAAAAAGAGAGAGGGGGAAGGGTTTAGCCAGCAAGACTGGATCTTGTGTTTTACCCTGAGCAGTTCAGCATTGAAGCCCTCACTTAAAGAGAGGGCCCCTTGGGGGTAGCGATCACTGGCTCTGATTTTTTATTATATAGAAGGGTTTCAATGGAAGAAGGGAACAGGAACCCGAAGGGGGCAGGCCAAAAAATATAAAAGGGGGGGCTACACCCGGTATGAGAAAAATTCCCCGCAGGAGGTTTAGTGGGACGAGAAATGGTAGGAAAATCAGTAAAAAGGATAAAAGGAATATGTGGGAACAAAGTGCAAGGAGGCAGAGGAAAATTTTGTTCCCAAGGGGAAAAAGAAAAAAAATAGGGGAAAACCAAAAAGAGGGTTTTGGGTTTTCCCCAAAAGGGGTAGGGGGGCAAAACTAAGTTCCAAAAGGAATGGAAAAAAGGGCAGGGGGGCATAGGGCCCCGGAAAACCCAAAGGGGAATTTGTAAAGAGCCAAAACGAGTATGCACAGATAAGGAGGGGGGCCCAGCGAAGATGAAAAAACGACATAGATCCCAAAAATCCAAAACCCGACCCGAAAAATGCTGTATAGCCCCCGTTAGGAGGGAAAACAACCGTCAAAGGGCCAGGGGGATAAAAGGGTGAGGAAAGGAAAGGGGGAGAAAAATCACAAAAAAACGATCAAAGGGGAAAGTGAGGAGCTCCCAAAACGAGGTTTAAGGAAAATATTTTTCAGTAGAACCCGGGAAAGGGCTCTGGGGGGACGACCAGATGGGCACCAGCAAGGGAAAACACCAACAAGTGTTGGGGCCATACATACAGAGAGGGGGAGGTGAAGAAAAATGCTTAAGGGGCAAAGATACCTCAAAAAGGGGGGGAAAGGGGGCCCGGGCAAAAATCTCCCCGTGGGTCCTTAAAAGGGGGCAGATATGTTTTGCGTGGGCCCCTTACCACAATCTTCAACCGTCCCCCGGAAAATGGGGAACTACCGAGGTATGGGAAAAGGCAATGTAGTTTCCCCTTTTTTTAAAAAAAGGGGACAGAAAAAGGGACTAAACTAAAAGACCTGTGGTTTATTGGGCGGGTATAGTTTTCAAAAATTATGGAGGAGATTATCAGGGGGAAGTGGGGGGGCACCCGGAAAAATGAACAAGAGTATAAATGCCAACCCAGCACGGATTAAAGGAAGGCAAACCTGTGTCACAAACCTTCTGGAAAATTTTTTTGAGAAAAATAACAGAAGTAAGACACGAGAGAAAAGGGGGGGGGGGTTGAAATTGCATCTTCTTGGGCTGCAAGAAGGCCTTTTTACACCCGTTCCCAAAGAGATTAGGGGGGCAGAATAGAATCAGGCGCATAAAAACAGGGAAAGGGGACGCAATGGCGAGAATCCCTTTCCCGGGAGGGGACAAAGAGTCATGGTACGTAAACATTTTCACAATGGGGCACCTTGACGAGCGGGGGCCCCCAGGGATCGGTTTCCCAGGCCCGTGCTATTTTTTGGGATATGTGAACCCACATGTGGAAGGGTTAGGGGCTCAGAAGTGTCCCTGTTACAGTGATTGAAGTTTAAAGAGGAGAAAATTTAAAAATTTTTTTAGGACCAGGCAGGATTCAAAGAGCCTGGCAGATGGGCACCTGGTCCAGCAAAGGGGTTCTCGAATTTAAACCTGCCAAATCAAAGTCAAAGAAGAAGGGGGAAAAGGGGACAGAAAACCACAGACAGAGTATGGCTAGGGGGCCAAAGACTGCAAACCTCCCCTCCAAAGGGGAAAAAATCCCTTTTTGGGGTGAGGGATAAAAACCGAGCATGTTCCCCCCGGAAGCCCATCAAATCAGATAAAAGCTGCAGCATATGGGGGGGCCTGGCAAACCTGAGAACGCATTCCCATACCCTTGTAAGGAATCGTTTTAAGGCCGGTACACCGTGTATGTCAGGGCCCCTACTGGATATGCGCCCTGGTTTTAACCCGCACTTTAAAACACGTCAAGAAACTAGAAAAGTACAAAGGTTTGCCACAAGGGGGGGGTTTGTTCCAAAATAAGGGGAATTTTCCCATGAAGAAAGATTAAAGGGGAAAACGGCCTGACGAACTGGAGGACAGGGGGGTCAGGGAGTTGATAAAGCATTAAAATACTGGTGGAAAAAGACAAAGGGGGACAAAGACAGGATGTTTTGGGAGGGGCACAGAAAAAGAGGCCACAAATTGGGAAATTGAAGACAAAAAATGAGTCAGGAGAATAGGAAGTAATTTTTTCAGTAAGGTTTAAAGGGAGGAAAAAGCCTAGAAAATGACGTAGTGGACAGGAACCATACACCGTTTTAAGGGGGGAGGGTTTTAAAAGCCATGGAGCGGGGGAGAGAGAGGGCCCAGTAGCAACCCGGGGAAAAAAGGCGGGGGCCCGGAGCAAAAAACTCGACCCCCCCAAACCCCAAATAGGGGAGTACAAATAGGGGAGTACACACACACACACACACACACACAAAGCCCACACACACACACTATACACAACCCCCACACCACTAAAAACCCACACACACCACACACACACCACACACACCCACACACACACCACACCACACACACCAACACAACACCACACACACACAACCACACCCCACCCCAAACACCACACACACCACCCACACCCACACACCACCACACCCCCACACCACACACAAAACACACCACACACACACACCCACCCAAAACACACCCCACACACACCACCATTCCCCCATCTCTCTTTTCCCTTTCCCTTTCTCTCTCTCTCTCCCATCTCTTTCCCTTTTTTTTTTCCCTTCTCACCTCCCCCCTCCTTCCCTTCCTTCTTCTCTTTCCCCCTCTCACCCCCCCCCTTTCCCTTCTCACTCTCCCCTCCTCTCTCCTTCACCTTTCCCTTCTCTCTTCTCTCACAAAAAAAAAAATAGGGGGGACTCGCGGGAAACCAAGGATCAATAGAAGGGTTCTGGAGGGGAGGGATGGGGAGCAGGGAAAAGGATAACAAGAGGGGAGAGAAAATTAGGAGGCTTTCTGAAAAAATGGAGAAAGAGCCTTCTGTGAAATTTGGAAAAGGGTTGGAGAAGGGAGAAAAAAATTTGGGAGGC